TGGATATCATTTGTTTCGTTGAAGTGATATATAGTAGGTACATTGGAGAAAGAAGGGAAAAAAAATCAAAGAACAAAGGAAAAAGACATCATTCAAGCCCATTGGTCTTGACGCCGTGAAATCGCACTGCGGTCGTCTTCTGTCACGGTGACATGTGTGGTTTTTGTAATTGCTTGGTCGGAGTTGTTTGTTGGTCGTGGGATCTCTTCGTTGGGTAGTATACCCAACTCGCTATCGCCGTCTGTTTCCTGCTTGCCGGGCCAGGACTTGGCAGTTGACCGCGCCTCGATATTGTCGAGCACGTAGCTTTGACGAGATACTTTTGAGCCTTTGCCTGAGGATCCGGTGAGGTTGGTGGGGAGAATCTCGCGCAAGAAGGTTTCAAATGTTTTCCGCAGTGGGGGTAATGAGGCAGTGAATGCGCCGACGAAAACTTCGGCGGAGGCGAAGATGCTCAGATTGACAGATTCGAAGCTTGGGTCTTTGGTGTCGGCCAGCGCCTTCATTTCGTACAGTTTCAGTGCGGAGATTGTTGTTGTTCTGAGTGTTTGTTAGCGGAATGCACAGGGAAAGTCCAGTGTGTTGGGACCTATAAAACTTACACGAGACCACAGAGAAAGACTGCGCGGACACCCCAGATTGTGCGCTTCGAAAGTTGAATCCGTGAAATGTACACCAAAGGTGCCATTGTGTAGAGCAGATCAGTCGCAATGTTGACTGCTGCTCCAGAGTACCCAGAGATAACCCTGGGCTCTGATCCCCAACATGAACCAGGCTTGGTTCCTGTCACATCCCAATGCTTGGAGTAGGGTGTGCATTCACCGAATAAAACCACCGTGGGGAACACAAAGTTGACCCCCACATGCACAACAATCGAGGTCCAAATCATGATGCGGAATGTCTTGGAAAAGTCAAGCATGAAAATGTAGGCGCAGACACTGAGCTTGACCAGCGCCATTCCGTAGAGATTGAGTATCTGGCTCAGCCAGACATAGTAGAGTTGTTTTTCCAGGCGGTGTGGTGTCATGAATGGGTCCCAAACGTGCTTGCCGGCACCGTATACAGCCGTTGTGTAGCAGCATGCACCGCCTGCTATAGCTATTACCTTTGACCGTGTTAGCACAAAACATGCAACAGTCCAATGGCTACACCGACATGTCCAGTCCATAGCAAATGATCTGTAAGAAGGAAAAAGTTCCTGTTCCTCCAATTGATACCCAGTCGAATCGCAACGAAAATGGAGCTGAATATAATCAATACAATAAGTGGTATCTTGAGAGCATTTGAGCGGTCGTCCAGAGGAAGCCCTTCTGGTGTCGTAGGCACAGCCATGGCGATATGGAAAGAACTCGAGACTGGGAAAAGAAAGAAAAGGCCTGGGAAAGCGGACCGATGTGTATTGTCTTGGTATACTAGGGCCCTTACCAAGACCAATGTTGTGCAGTAGTTGTACCGTGTGCCACGTGGGTGTACGAACCGTTATAATATTCGCCCATTAATGCCACGGGTGGATGCAGCCTGCCCGTCAAAACCTGCCCATTTGAAACATGCGGCTACAAAATCCTACAGCGGTCCGAGTACCTGCATATGGTTTGGTGGTAGTCGCGCGAGTCAACGCTTAATCCGTACTTGGTGAGTCAAGGGGTGATCTCGCCCGAGTTTCCCCCACTCCAGATATCTCTTCATCTTTTAATATCAGGAAACTCGGTTTTTAGCGTATGTGGAAAAGGCATTTGTCAAACCATGGCTGCTTGTTAATCGTTACGTTTTGTCCAGAGACACGTCGCTACTCTTTCCACTTCAGAGTGGCAGAGAGTTTGGAAATGTCGACCCAGGGCTGGACGCCTCGAGGTAAGTTCAATAGTCCTGGCCGTTAGAGAATTTGTCGAACACTTTTGCCCACTGATCAGGTGGGATGTTTTCGGCATAGTCAGCGGTTGCGTCTTTGACTGGCCAGCTAAGGCTCGTGTCGTAGAAGCAAGGTTAGCTTGGGATGGCGTTTAGGCCAACAGTTTTCAGGTTCGGCATGGCCGTGCTATGGCATGTGGCTGCCGCCGAAATCACCTACATTTGATTACGAGTCCTGAGCTAGACTAGGAACGGTGCAAGTACACAAGTGTCGCTCGCGCCTCTTGACACAACATACCTGAAGCCGCTCGCTAGGCCGAGGTTGTCAGCCAGTTGTGCTAATGATTGTCGTACGGACGTAGCGAAACCCTCAGGCGCCCTAGGTTAACCGTTTCAAGATCCCGCCTGTTTGAACGTCGGACGTTTGATCTGCAGCGGGGCTGCGAAAGACTTTGTTGGATGGAGAGCTGTAATTGTTGCAAAGTTTGAGATGACGCTAGGCAGTTGCCGGTCGCTGTGCAGGCAATACGGCTTGGCAGCGACAGCCATCGGATGCCCAAGTAGGCAATGCCAGACGCCACAGGCGATCCAGACGATGGATAGCGTCTGGCTTAGCCAAATGTCGATACTCTAGGCATCGGGATTAAGACTAGTCAGGAGCAGACCGATGATGAGCAAAGCGGCGTTCTCGCCAAGAGTTAATATGCCGTGTCTATTATCGCTCGCTTCCAGGCCACGGCTCCTGCAGGACTGACCCAAAGTTTCAACCCCCTGTCCCTACATGAACAGCTACGCCATTTCCCCCACCTTTTTTTCGGCATCGACGTAAAAGAGGGTCACGGGTCCAGGCCTTCACGAACGCTACGCGCTTCTTTGTCGCGTGGCGCTTGTCAGACGATAATGCACAAAGTTCTTGCCTACAATAGCTATCCAGCTGCGCCAGATTCTCCTTCGAGTCCATCGTCGTGATCTTTGGTTCTCTACATTGATCTAGACCATGAAAACATGCCATTATGTGGTCCACTCATTTGCAAACGTGCTATTTGGAAGACCTGCCAGTATATCTACCTGCTATGCCCACGCTACGCTGGTCTAGACTCAGCATCGCGCTGTGAGCGTGTTGACCTATTGACAATTTTCGCTTTCCTGAGCGTTGAGAAAATCAGGCGATGATTTCGCCATACTCGCCGTACCTCGCTTGTAGCAGACCACCTGCTGGTTGTACAAAGTTTCGGGTAACTATGCTGCCTCAGGAGACGTCTACCCGCAAGCTACGTACTAGCAATTATTGATTCTGGCCAGTAGCGCCTAAGTTCATCTATAAACCTTCCATTTGTCTCGCTTTAAGGAGCTAGAGCAATCGTTGATTTCTCATTTTGCACCTCTCACTGGTTGCCTACACATTCCTTCAGCTTGCTTACGCTCGTTATCATGTCTTTAATTTTATCTGGTCTTTTGTTTCTTTCCTCTTTCGTACCGCGTATAACAAATCCGCTGAATAGTGGTAACAGCAACGGAGAGCCCGATGTTAGCGGGCAATCCTTTGACTTCATCATTGTTGGCGGTGGACTAACTGGACTCACTGTTGCCAACCGGCTTAGTGAAGACTCGGGCCGTGAGTGTTTTCCTTGGACTTGAAAGTTCCAATTTGACCCTCTTCAAGGCACTGTGCTCGTAATAGAAAATGGGTATGCGGTCGACGATGTCTCGACGCGAGTACCCAGCTTCGCAAACAGCATCAACACGCCGCTCATGTACGATATTACCTCAGCATATGACGCAAATACTGGTTGTTCACACCCCGTCTGGGTAGGGAATGTTCTGGGCGGAGGGTCAGTCGTCAATGGCATGGCTTTTGACCGCGCATCTGCTGCCGACTACGATGCTTGGGAACAACTAGGCAATAATGGATGGAACTTCAACAACCTCCTGTACTACTTCAAAAAATCAACAACTTTTACACCGCCCACCGAGTCCAATGTCCAGGAGTTTGGCACCACATATGACGCATCGTACTACGGCACCAACGGCCCCATTCAGGCTTCCTTCCCCAACTTCGAGTATCAAGACACCAAGACAATTTGGGCATCCTACAAGAGCGCGGGCGTGCCCTTGCCCAAGGAACAAGGTTCAGGCAAAGCTGTAGGCGCGTTCTGGACACCCACATCTCTGCGACCCAAGACACAAACACGGTCTCACGCAAGAAATGAATACTACGACCCTATCAAGAACCGCAAGAACCTCGTCGTCATCACCGGAAATACTGTAAACGAGATTCTCTTCAACAGCGGTCTCTTGACCGGACTCACAGCCAGCGGTGTCCAATACAGGTCGCGCAAGGATGGCTCTATTAAAAGGGTGTACGCTAGGAAGGAGGTGATCATGGCGGCTGGCGCAGTTTTTACGCCTCAACTGCTTCAACTCAGTGGCATCGGTCCCCGGGACGTGCTTACTGCTGCTGGTGTACCGGTGAAGAAGCATATGCCAGCTGTCGGTGCCAACATGCAGGACCACCCCAACGCCAACATGATGTTCGATTTGCAGAACCTCGCCTTCCCGAACCCCTTCAGTGGTGCCGACCCGGCCTACAACGCTACGGTGTGGTCGGAATATGACAGTACCGCCAGTGGACCTCTCACTCAGGCCCACGGTAGCAGCTTGGCCTTTCTAAGTCTGCAGACCATCACAGACAAATGGAGCGACATTGTACAGACGGTAAAGTCGCAAGATGTGCGCAGCTACCTCCCTTCTGTCTATCGGGACTCTTACCTCTTGCGCGGATTCCAAAAGCAACGCGACATCATTGCCAACCTCCACGCCAGTCCCGACGCTGCTGTCGCCGAGTTCCCCATGGTTCCTTTTGGTCTGGCCATCAACGTCCTGCAGCGTCCGCTTTCTCGCGGCACAATCACGCTTGACCCAAGGAACAAGTACGCAAACCCCGTTGTCCAGTTCAATTCTCTGCAAAACCCCGTCGACCGCCAGATCATCCTAGCAATGATTCGATGGACGCGCAATCACTGGACAAGCCCCGATCTTGCCAAATTCTCCCCCGTCGAGCTCTCACCCGGCGCACAAGCGCAGACAGACGACGAGATCATCAACGATCTAATAAGCCAACAAGGGCTTCAGGCATCCTTTGCGCACATGTCTGGTAGCTGCTCGATGATGCCAGAGGCGTATGGCGGCTGTGTAGGCAGCGATCTCACCGTGTATGGTATCAAGAGCCTCAGCATCGTAGATGCAAGTATCATCCCGCTGATCCCCGCAACACACTTGCAATCCACAATGTATGCTGTTGCAGAAAAGGCAGCCGATCTTATCAAGGACAGATATTCTTTCAATATTCTGGACCCCTTCTCTATCTTCAAGGTGAAAAGAGTCAAGATATTCTAGTCTTGCGTTTTGCTCACGAAAAAAAAAACAGCTCTCTTTTTTGTAAATAGGTTTTATTTTTGCGGTAATGTAATTATCGATTCAAGGACCCAGGCGACAAGAGCCAGCCTGTTCATGTCGTCCATTCATCATGTACTAACATGTTACTATGCACATCCCAAGTCTCAATCCTCGTCACCCCCCGAACCACCGCCTTGCTCGAACCGGTCACAAGAAGGGAAACGGTAGAAGTCTCCCGCCGGATCTTCCCAAAAATCCTTGTTGTTAATATAGCAAAAATCGGTCGTCAAGCTCCAGTAATCGACGGGTCCCTCACTAGGCAGGTTGTTCACGATCTTGAGACATTGCAGCCAGACCTCGTTGTTGAACTCAAATGTTTTCTCTATTTTGCAGGACTCCTTGGGGCAGGAGCGGCAGTAGGCGTATTCTTCGCCCACGGTGACGTTGATGAGGTACATGACGTTCACGTCTGCTGCACGCTCGGGAATAGGCACAGACACAGGTGCGGGCTCGGGCTCCGAGGTCGGCTCGCGCTTGTTCACGTCGCTTGTTCCGTTTTCGTTGTTGTGGTGCAAAATCTCGAGGAACGGGACGGGTCCGCAATTGTCTAGCTTGGCCAAATCGGGTTTCGAGTACAAGTTTTTCCTTGCGACATAGCAATTGTTTGTTGTTTTGTGCCAGTACCTGTGCGTGCATTCATGTTAGCTGGGCTTTCATGCCGTGCATGTGCTGGCCAAAGAAGAATCACTCACGGATCATCAATGATGAGTTGTCCGTCTGGATACCAGCAAGTCAAGTCCAGCTCGGTGTTTTCGTTCAGATATGATACAACGTCGCAACTTAGCTCAGGGCAGATTCTGCACTCAGTCTTGTATTTCAATTTTGCATCTTGAAGGGTTAGTTTCTGAACCTCAGAAGCGGGACCGCAGTATTTGAGATCAGTCGTGTCTAATCAGAGACTATTAGTTGCTTTCCTCAAGTCTAACCTCAATTATACTTACAGTCTCCAGCATACTCTAACACATCGTACTGGGTTATGTAGCAGCCAGCTTCAGTCTTGAGCCATAGGTTGTCTCCCATGATCTTTGTTCCTTGTGTCCAGCATGTTACGTTGAGACTCTCTTCGTATTCATAGTAAAGCTTATTAGGACAAAGCGAGCGCGGGCAGGTTTTGCATTCTGTACGGTACTCTGCTTCAGTCGGAATATAAGACTTGACTTGAGCATGGACTGTCGCAGCCGCAACTAGTACAGTTGCGAGAAACGAAGGAACGAAACCCCGCATTTGGTTTACGAGCTGCTATAACAGAAGGAATGCTTGCCGATGTGAAAGGATGAAGAAACATTAGAAATAATCAGCAGCAGGAGCGATATAAATATTGGGGTTTGAATTAACCCACATCTGACAGCTGACATTTCAGCTAGGGCTGTGTAGAGAAGGATTTCAGACTACTCGTTTAGGATGCGAAAATATATGAACTCGTATCTGTATGTAATCATGGACCATGGTGTAACAGGGAGGTGTAACACCAATCTACAATTGTAAAAAAAAAGGTGATCAGGCATTTTCCAAAATGTAGATTCTATTGACTTCAGAAATCAATCATAGAAGAGATAACTGGTTTCCAAGCATGCTTTTCACGAGATAAATTCAGACGGATATTGATGGTATGATGTTGAATTATTGACTGTGTAGAAGAGGGGTTATGAGGCTGACATGCAGGATCAGCGCGGTACACGGGTAAGGCGCCCCTTCAAATTAGGCTAAACGCGGGCATATTCGGTGTTGAGACCTAGAGCTCATGTAGAAGGTACTGATGGGATAGTTGAAGATGATAGGCAAATTTTGACACAATTACATGAGGGTAGGTGTAGTCAAAGAGCGATCTATGGGCAGCCATTGCTCTAGTGACTGCACTAAAATAGCATTTATGGATCCTGGGTTAGCTTTTGCGAATCAAAACAAGGCCCAAGAAAAACGGATCTTCTGCATAGAATGTATTGAATTTCTGGGATTATCGCATTTTCGTATTGTTCAGGTTACGTAAAGGCTGGCTGTATTTCGAATGATACGATCAATTAAGTTTTCGATGCACCCTCTCAATCATTGGTTTTCTATACATCAGGCAGCCAATACTCAGTACAGGTTTATTAGATATGATAACGCCACCAATCCAGATGCATTTAGAGTATGAGAGACTACGAGTCGACACAAGCAAATCTTTTCCACGGACACACAGCATGCGCGTAGTCCAAGAACTGCCTGCTCACTCAAGATGGGCAATGACGTTTGGTTTTCAGCAACCATCTTGCACTTGATCGAGTAAGAATACTACTGTTGAAGGTAAAAGGCCAGAAAGCTATAAATACTTTGCCATGAAATGGGCTAATGTCTGAAAAGGCAGCTGCATTTACAGAAAGTGATCTGCAAGCCCACTACATTGCTTTGGGAAAGCAGCATACAGGTAAAATAGTGAGTTCAGAGTACGGGCAATTTCTTTTCGCTACACTACACCTCAGGCCTGGAGCTCGTACCGTGATCGCTGCCTTTTCAAAGGATCTGGATACGGTCACGTGACTGGTCGTGGGGGCCAAAAGATTCTTCAGTGACCTCATGTCAGCATGGCATCTATGATTTTTCAAAGCAGTAAACTCCTTGCGTATCCACTTGAGATACAAAGCTTCGCACCAGAAGCCATGAAAAGAACGGTAGCGCTCTGCTGATAGTAGCAGATGCACATACTCACCAAGCGCATGGCGGCTTCGGCCCACAACTGCTTACTACTAGCGCTGTAACCGAACCCAACAATATCGTCATGCCAACTGCACGGACTAGGATTCCCCATTAGCCCTGTCGCAGAATACCTGTCGCCATCGGGATATTCCCGTAGTTGAGGCCAGGCGAAGACATCACCAACCTCAAAGCAAGGTACAACAATGATCTGATAGGAGTTGCCACCCGATATCTTTTGCCTCGGCCGTACCGCCAAGAAATCTTCAGGCCATCGCACCTCCCGTCCTTGCTCCTGAAAACAAATACGACAATGGATACAACCGAGGGGCCGAAGCCAAGTTTGCTCAGAAAAAAATTTGTGGATCCGTTTCGGACGTCCATCTCGAAACGCAAATCCAGTGTAACCGTCATACCCACAGTAACTTCCTTACCCAATTTCGAAAACCCTCTAGACGCGCTACCCGCATTGCAATATGCCCCCCTCGACCCAAACAAGAAAACTATCAGACTTCTGGAAATAATACTTGCACCAGAGTATGAGCCAATCCAAGCCAAACTTTCAACATGCGACCTGGACGACAAGCCCGCGTTTATTGCACTGTCATACACGTGGGATAAGGGCGGTCAAAGAAAGAATATTGACATCCAAGGCTCCAAATTCACAGTCGGAGAGGGCTTGTGGAATTTTCTCAGACAGTACCGCAAAAAGGAGTTCCTGCGACAAAGCTCGGAAAAGGATCCAAGCAAGCCCATGCCACTGTGGATTGACGCCATTGTCATTGACCAGAGCAACATGGCAGAACGCAACCACCAAGTTTCTCTTATGCGCGATGTATACACTGGCGCCGAATCCGTCATTGTATGGCTTGGCCTTGCCACGGGAACGGAAGAGCTAGCCTTTATGCTCGCGCGGCATCCATATCTGCTGCGGGTCGAGGAATTTCATCACGCCCTGGCAACCGTACTCGACAAACCGTACTGGGGACGTGTATGGGTGGTCCAGGAGTTTGTGCTTGCGCAACGCGTCGACATATGGTGTGGCGACTACAGTGTCGATGCCTCAGTGGTAGAAAATATCTGGAAAGACGGATTGACATCCATGCCGATTGTATCTGCTGCAAGGCAAATCTATGCGAGTCGCGGGTACTTGTTGTTTAAGTACCGGCGAGATTTCAAGCATTCGAAGCAGTATAGGAGGGAAGTCATGGGGCGTCGAAACAGCAGGACATTGAAGGCTACTTTCCGGCTGCGCGACCTTTTACAAGCTTTTGCTTCATCCCAGAGCACAGTCGAACATGACCGTGTCTACGGGTTCCTGGGCGTAGCATCAAAGGGACGTGGGGAAAAGATTCAACCCGACTACAGCAAATCAGCGGTGGAGCTCCTCGTCGACGTCCTCCGCAACCAATGCAACAGCGACCACCGAGGCGGCGACAAAGACGACTACAAATTCCTCGCCTTTCTCACCCAAGCCCTCAACGTTTCCCCCGAAAAACTCGCCCAACACGTACTGCAACTCTGCCCCCAAGTCCAACCCCACGTCTACGTCTTAACAGCTACCCCCTGCATGACAGCCTCGATATCCTTCATGAGCACCATAACCGAAGTCGGCGATTTCGTCGACCACGACGAAGCCTTTCTCCCAAAAACCTGGAGCCCAGGCTGGACGCGCTCAAGCATGCACCCAAAATCGCTCTCCAGCCAAGACATCCTCGATCTCGGGGGTCTCGTGACCAAAAACGAGACTGATATCCAACTCAGCTTTGCGGATCCCTACGTGCCGCACGGAAATCCCGGGCCGTCACAAAAGGTGCGCCAGTCCATTATCGAAGAGTCGACGGATCTGATTATCACGGGGCTTATACGCGCGACTGTGGAGCGGGATGCGCAGCCGTGGGGGGAGGCGGAGACTGGTGATGGGAGTATAGTTATGCGCGACATTATCAAGCGGAGCATGACAAATGATGCCTCAGGTCTGTACTTGGAAGCCAGAAGTCACAGGCTGAGCCGGCGGGATACGGATCAGCGGCACGAGCGGTACACGTCGTTTGTGGGTACGAATGGCATCATTGGGCTTGCATGTGGTGGTGGTCCTGGATCATATGAGGTGCGGCCTGGAGATCGCATTTGCACTTTTTCGGGTGTGACCGATGCGAACAATGCGTTTATCCTGCGTCTGGGTGCCAGCGGTAAGTGGCTGATTTCGGGGTTTGCGATTATCCTTTTACCTGAGCTGCGGACGCCGGCAGTGGAGCGCAGTAGCAGCGATGCTATACGGAAACAGTCGTTCTTAAGCGAGACAACGCTGTGCTTCCACTGCCATTTGAGCGACTTGCTTGAATTGCAGCGGTGTCAGATTTTGAGTCAGGTACAGATGAATCGCCTGTTGGAACAGACCCTTCAAAGGGGGAAGACGCATTGTTGTGCACAAGGAAGTGGGGAGTATGATGTGTTGGAATTTGAGCTGTAGTCGCTCAGATGATGTAATTTTCGGTGTATACTCGACTGCTAGTCCTATGTTCATTTCTTTGTCAAAGCAGCTTTTCATGTTGGGCGTGTCCGGCAATCTAGCAAGCCGTGCCTCATCCCTTTAACTGTTTCCAACGTCCACTGTCACTTCCTGGCAGTATGTTTTGATATCTATTGTGACTTCTTCGCCTTAGCCTGAGCACCGGTAAAGCCCATGCCGTAGTTGTAGACCAACTTTCCGCCCAGATGAGCGGCAAACAGGGTGGCCGGAAGCGCCAATACACAGCTGGCTAGGATGTTTGTGCTGGTGGGTTCGAACATGGGGCGGCTTCGGCGCGTCCACCAGTTGAGAGCCGCAGTGACAACGGTAACGTCGTTGATCGCAGCATGGGCTATAGCCATCTTGGCCTTGCGCGAGTTGAGGCCGTCGCGCTTGATCAGCGGCATCAATTGAGAGGCGCCGGTCATGACAGCGGGGACGGAGAAGGCAATTGTGAGGATAGTGAGGTAGTAGCTGAAGAAGGGAAACAGCTGGGGCGCGAGCTTGATGTCAAGAGTCTTGTCTGAGGAGCAATTGTCAGTACACGGTGTTCTCTGGCTGGGATTGAAGCTACTTGCAAATGGAAGCCACAGCAGAAGACGTGGCTGGATACTTGTAGAAGAAGTAAAACGCATCCAGACCACCCGTCAAGAGGGTCGTGGTAATGGGGAAGTGGACGAATGCTGGGTGGGCTGGGAGAGACATGTTGAGGGATTCTAACAAGCAAGCCGAGTGTCGTGTAGGAGAGATGTCGATGCAGGTGCTTTCCAGTGAGAGGTGATGTGAGGGTGCGCGTCTTTACTTATACGGGACAATCGATAAGCGAGAGGTGCAGAAAGCAATATGCTTACTCGGACCGTGGGCATGAAGTTCCAAAGCTGCAAACAGGCGGTCTGTTTCCGCAAAGCACAGCGGAGAGCCGAATGGAAGGCGTAGTGTTCCCCCCATTGCAACAGCAATGCTATCCCAATTCACTCGTGATTTTGCCGTGTCGTCAGCATCATCAAGTCCGGACGTCACACGAAGAAGAGGTGCGGAACAGCGCGTGTACTCGCATTGGCCAGTGGGCGCCATCCGGATTGAAGGAGCCCATTTTCTGCGCTGTGATTGGCCAATGGCTGGGGTACCTGCACGGAACTCCGTTGAGCAGCTCTATTCTTCTTCCACCCCGCATCCGAGCCCTCCCATTGGCCAACCACGACATCAATCCTCTCAAAGGTATTCACGGAAACTGACTATCGTGTATTAGAGCACAACTATCAATATACTGGCATCCCTCTCCGGTACAGCGTCTCCCCGCCAGTCACTCCGCTCTGTCCGACCTTGCTCTCCTTCAGTATTCCCGCATCATAAAGCTCCGATATGAGTGAAAACAGCATACCATCGCACCCCTTTGCTGCCAGCAGATTGGCCGTGACAGGCAGGTACTCTATATGGCCAGTAATCAATGAATCGTACGGCGTCTCGCCCAGCGGCACAACATAGTCGGGCACTTCCGACATGACTGAAATCCGGCCGTTGCTGAAACCCAGCGGGACGCGAGGCTCGCCCCGATACGCGTTACGATACGTCCTGCCGCCAGTCGAGCCAACGTACATGACGAGCGACTTGGAGCATGTCTCTGCCGAGGGAGCAAGCACAGTCTCGTTGGCCCAATTCTGGAACAACGTCTTGTCGGCGATGGCCTCCGCCACGGTCATGTTCTGCTCCTCACCCCACCCCCAGCGAGCGAGCGGTGTAGGGTTGACAAAAGGAAGACGTCCATCATGTTTGGCCGCGTAGTCGGCATAGAATGGTTCGCGGACTAGCTCAATTTGTTGCTTGGTGATGAGAATTGCGTACGTGAGGTTCATGAACGTCCTCAACGGTGCAACGTCGGGGTTGGCAGCATCAAATTCTGCCGTTAGGTTGTATGCCGTTGCATTCGCACTCAAAAAACCGGTTACCTTGCTCAAGAATTCAACAAGCAGCTTGTCAGCCTCGTCTTCTACCTCCGTAGGCCAGCCAATCGTCTGGATACTCCTGGGGTAGCTACTAGTCATGGTGATGTTGGGACCATACATGACTTTGGCGGCTTCCATCCAGATATGGGGGTTGCGGGCGAGTAAACCGGGCGTGTCAAGTACCGGGCTGAGTGGCATTGTATGATCCAAAGAGACCAGGCCGTGTGACGGCCGGTTGCCATACAACCCTTGAACTTGGGCTGGGCCGCGCACACTTCCACCAGTGTCAGAGCCCAGACTGACATCTAGCCATGAGTACGATGCGGTACCCGCACCGCCGCCAGTGGAGCTGGAAGATGTGTCTTGATAGCCATCTCCACGAGGATTGAACGACGCATGGTAGTCTACCCAATCAGCAGTCGCAGTCTCTCCGTTGGCAAATTGAGAGGTGATCATCTTGCCGACAATAATGGCTCCTGAATCAATCAAGTTCTGCACAGGTGGTGCAGTGGTCTTGGCTGGGGGATACAACCAATACCAAGCTCGATTGCCGTTTGAAGTGCGAAGGCCTTTGATATCTGGGCCACGTCAGTAAGAGGCGATAGCCACTTGATCATCTCAACGTACCGTAAATGTCTTTGATACCGACCCGCACACCCGCCAATGGCTTCTCAGCAGTCTTGGTAAAGTACAGACGAGAAGGCACAGCAATCGCTTGGCGTTGGCCAACTGTGCCAGCAGGCAGTACCGAATATGAACCATCGCCATTACCAATTGCCGACTCTGTAAATGCACCCTGCACGTCCGAAAATAGTCTCCACGCCTCAAAAACTTGACCAGCGGCATTGATGAAGTAGGGTCCGACAGGCAGTTGAGAAGAGGCGTTGCCAGATAGAATAGGGACAGATGAGTTTGTAAATCTCACAGTGCTAACCTGCGCATAGATTGCTAAACGATCTGTCAATTGCAAAGCTGGACATGTTCTATGAAGTAAGTACCTTGCATAAAGCCATCTTGCCACACATCGTCGTCGGCATAACCAGCCGTTAGCGATGCGATATCCGCTACCAAACCGTTGCCCTTCACCACCGTAAATGGCACAAACGGTGCGGCTTCGAAAAGCTCCTGGATTCCCTCGCATCCGGATATTTTGGCCACTGGCTTTGGAGGAAGAAAATAGTCAATGTCCGACAAGGAGACTGTGAAGCCCGTAGAAGACAAAGCGGCCTTGACATTCACAACAGCCAAGGAAGCTACGGCTAGGGCTCTCATTACACCCATTGTCGCAACAGTATACAAAATAAGGACTGTAGTACAAACACCTTCGTACCTAAGATCGCATCCCCATATTATATACAGCCACACTTACTCGTGCGTACCAGCAGCATGCCCAACGCCAATCTTCTTCATTCCAAGTTTACTGTCTGCGCCCCCCATTGTACCAAGGCTTGGAACTGTCCGGCTTCGCTTTCCTATCAAACCCACCCGTCCCATCGTCTTATCGTATACGGCACGTGGAGCACGGTGGGGCAGACAAGAGATAAGGACAGAACAGCCAATGAGAAGCATGCATTAATGAAGAATTTCGGGATTTCACTACGCTGTTGCACGCAATCCTTTGTAGATAGTTGTCCGGAATTGAGAGCGCGGCGATAAACGATGGATACGCAGGTTTGGGCCGTCGGCGGTTTTCCCGGTTGCTGGGTTTCGGGATCAGGGCGTGTCAGAATTGGTGGCTAGTACGTAAACTAATGTGGGGTTACACTTACTACATACTACTCTTGTCGGCCCGAGTGTGTGATTTCTTGTAGTTGTTTCTAAGCTATTACGTATACTAAGAGTAGCTGTAGTACAGAATGAGGGTTGGGTCTAGAAGTATCAATTTCAAGGCTTCGCCTACTAGCGAAGTGCGACTCCAGGTCTTAGTAGCGCTTGCATCGATGACCATGGGCGGCAGACTCAACAATACGGTAATCGCGATTAGATAGGCAAGGGTTGTGTGAAGCCGTTTTATAGTGAGTTGCGCATCAACAAGAGTTTGTCGATGCGTCGAGCGGATGCGCCGTTCGAGATGGGTTAGGCTGGCATTAAGGCTGTCCTCACATTGTTGCCTGGCGTTTCGGCCCGCAATACAATACTTAGTACATACTGCTACTTAGTAATAGTATGTATGAGCGGCGTGGTCCTTTTGCTCGGTAGTAGTATACATCTGTGCGCGAACTGACACCATTCTGTAGACATTGTAATAGACTCATGTAGTGAATAACAGTCTGTAGATTTAGATTTCTGGTGTGAGGACCGCTTTTAGATTCGCAGTATAGTCGCTATCCCACAGCTGCGCACTGTCAGCCTTACATATTCAGCCTTCCTACGTCGCTGCACAAGCAGGCTGCGCCTCCTGCTCTAGGTACCGGACGCCTACCCTACACTACAGCCTCTCGATGCCAGTCCTCCCCACCTTTGACTTACAATGATTGGCAGAATGCAATCCGGGACCTATTAGCTCCGCAACCAACTTTAAAAACGGAAAGAAAAAAATGGTACTTTGGAAAAGGTCGAATAGTGTAGCCTTGAGCGGCATTTTCTGTCAGGCCTTGCTTTCACAAGGACCCTCGCGGGTCATCTACCGCCTAGCATAAACGTCCAAAACGTGTAGCATTACCCACAGGTGAACTTAGGATGAGCCTTTATGACAAAACTTGTGGGTAAGATCTCATTCGTGAGACATTAATTTTGTACTGAGGAACGGAATGGAGGAATGTATGCGGTGTCTACTCAAGTGGTTCCAATCAGCCCAGACAAGCTTGCAAAGGCGCCACACCTAAAAAAAATATGCAAATGAAGAGCTATAGCATGTTAACATTATTATGCTCAAAAACTCTGAAAAAAAAAACTTTTTATCTTGCACTGATGCAGCAATTGTGGAGTGACTCGGGTCCAATATAAAATGTAGATCGAATACATTGTATGAAAGTGAGAAGGAGTTTCAGCGCAAATTTGAATACGAAATGATTCAAAGGCAGTCGAGGTTAAAAATCAATAGAATTAGTCAGGTCCAACCTTTATATCCTTGACTTCTAAGCTAAGATATGCGTGTCCCTCCGCGAAAAGCCCCCCTGTGGTCACAAATGCCACGACTTGCTTTTTTCTTGATTCATCATGCAAATGCGGAAGATTCAAATATATGGTCGGTCGAAACAGCTTGAATGCGGAACAGTTGTACCCATATATATTGCGATATCTCGGCCGAATGTCTTGCCAGTCATTGCCACGTACTAAGTCAAAATGCCAAGGGGGGTATCTTGTCCGATCCAAACGGCAAACAAGCACAAAGGAATCAAACATATCAGCCCACTCAGGCACAAAATGGAAAAAACCTAGAAACACACCTGTGTGTCCTGCATACAGCATTCTTCGAATCGGGTCATAACAACCAATAGGCTCGATCTCGGAAAGTCCGATGTCCGGATGTCCCATGTATAACGGCTTGGTAACGTGAAGCACTTGCTCACGGATAGCAGTGACTTCCTCCGCTGAAAGTGTTGCAGCGACTTGGAGAGATTGGATAGATTCCTGACGCCGAATCGACTCCAGGAGATTTGGAAATGCGCGTACATATAGGTTAGGTCCCACTTGTCGTAGAAACACCCCAAGACAATAACCTTCAATGTTGTATCTGTGTCTGTGATTGATGGGAAGAATGTAGCAGCCCGTGTTCCGATCTGTTGCTAGTGGGAGTTCGAATTTCAGTCCTCTGTTGGTGATAGAGAATTCACAGTTATCGAAGACAGTATCCTGCGCAACCACCAAGGATCTAGCATGTTCGAAGTCGGCTGGTGATGAAGCAAGCAAACCACTATGTTGTTCAACATGGACTATTGAGGTGGTTCGAGTCCACCCAAAAACGGACATATCAGGGCTGTTCCTAATGATTTCCTTTTGCAGTCGGATGAAAGCATTCTCTCCCTCACCGTAAAGCATAGGCATATTGATTTGAAGTATCCCAAGCAAACTGTATGCACGGTCTTCTTCTCTCTTTGTCTCCCTCTTAGCGGCCCATGACATTCGCACAGCTACTGGCACCTCTTCGAGAGCTACGGTATTGACCAAAACTTCTGCATCAACCTGAGTAATTGAGATCAGTTCTCCAAGCAGGCTGATCTTATCGCCTCGAAAATTCCACTCCTCGTCGTAGAATCGAACGATGAATGGCGCAATCAGTTCCTGTAGCGTCCAACCACGTTGGAACCATTTACAATCCCGCAGTGATTCTCTTATGGGGTTCAAGTCGCTGAGGAATGCGTAGCAAACATCAGATGCTCGATACCATTTGAACATGGAATTGATGGCCTCGGTAAGTTCTGCGCTGCTTGATTTGTCGATACAACAGGTGTCTATCCAGAAGTATTCCAGGCCATCCTGTGCGGCTTGTTCTCCACAGAAAAGAATCTTCTTATAGCCAGGCTTATCCCTCCCAGTGCCATTTACCAGGTCTCCAAAGGTGACCTCATCAGCATCTGGTCCCCACGTATGTGAAAGTATCGCATAATGAGGGATGTCCTTATCCGAAAACTGAGTAAGAACGATATCGCCAGTATCGCTGCGTCGCAATAGTCGCATGGTTGCGTATGCGCTGGACGGGTGCGAGGGTTAAGGATGGGCTCAAACGCGGCAGCCTAGTAGCGAACAAGGGTAGCAGGGCGACACGCTCATTTGGTCAGAATACTAGTCCTACCCACCGGGATTAGTAATTATGTAGAGAAAACAATAAAGCTCTCTGTGATATACTACCCTTCCAAGTGTACAAGTATAAAACTGGAAGACGACGGTGCTATTCTGTGCTGAAGTAAGTGTCGAAGTGGGGAGGGGGGATGCTGCGAGAGAGCTCTTAACATGGCGCAGCAAGGCTACGTAGCCGAAAATAATCTTCCAGGGTCTGAGACGCTTATCCAGTCATGCTATTGCTTTCTACATCGTACGCCCAAACCGCAGTCCTTTTCAAATACATTTCCACAAATATCAAAATAGATTGAATTCCGGTATTAACGACAAGTTTTGTAAAAATGGCAACTTTCTATAGGATATTTCAAAAGGTACGCAATTGACTACGAGTGGACCTCAAACCACTTCTCTTGCCAATGTGCCGTTTTCTCATTGTCAGCCCACCTATATCATATCATCTTAAAGCTATTCTCCTTTTGGGTACTGCGATGTTCAAGAAGCATCATTGGGGTCGTGTCATTACAGGGCCTTTATGGTCCAAGATTTTCATGCCTATACTACTACTTGACTTAGCTCAGCTTCATAAGCTGGCTTGACTTGGCTTGCAAGCCAGCTTCCTTGTTGATAAGGAAGTGAAGAAGTATGATTGGAGTTAAACTGTCGCATAGAAGCTTTCAGGTGGTCCCAAGTAGCTTTCCCGAGCACCTCCCAAATCAATAACGATTTTTTCCAGTGCCATGTTCTCGTCCTGAAGTAGAATCTTCAAGGTGTGCATGCCAGCATCGCCAAGATCCACTTGATGTTTTCTGATCCAAACACAATCCATGACTGATTCCAACCATCCGGGTGGTAGCTCCCCCGCCTTCTGAGGTTGTTGTACCAGCTTGTGCATCTCAATGTCTTTACCATCAAGCGAGATGCCGTACAAAGCTGGTGATGTTGGGTTTACATCAAGCGTCAGCGTAAAGTATAAGTGTAAGGACGCCTTAGTGGTTGACGTGAATGTGTAGAAAGGGTACAGTAGCTCACAGCTCTGCAAGCCCGAATTAGGTTGCATGCGAAAGCTTACCGCCCCGCTCTCTTCACGGCCAAGGTGTGGGTGTTTCCAACAACCAATTGCGTTCTTGTTTGCGAAATGAGTAGCTGGGATGGAGATGACTTGATCAGCCTCGACATGTCCAACGAACTGAGGCGGTATGCTACGGTACTTCAGTGGAACGTGAATGTGTTCGTAATCCCCAAGATCACTGCGTAGAACCAATAAAACCTCATCGTTGAAGTCCTTAGGTACAAGTTTCCAGTTCACCGTCACCTGGATCAACGGATCTTGTCCTTCGGATGTGGGGTCCAGGATCCCACGAGCGTGCACTGGCATCCAATCTACCGGACTTTCAACCTGCCAGGTGAGTCTCTTCGGACCACGTAAGTACAACTCGAAAGCCCTGGACTGCGGGCCATATGGGTCCATTGTCAGTAACGTAACACCAGATACGAGGTCTCTTCGCGAAGGATGCGTGCGGTCGCTTTCCTCATTGCACAGCCCAGGTCTTACACCCTCAGTACCCTCGACAGCAATACCAATGTGTCCGACGATGGGGTTTGATTCTTGGCTCGCTTGTACGAGACACAGCCCACTTATCATGTCCCGTGAAGGCGCATGCCAAGTCTCACGGTATCCGAGGTGAGGCTGTCGCATGATGTGGTTCCACTTCCCATTGAGCATCGTGTGATACTCCTGAGACAGCTGGAAGTCGTCTTTAAAGAGGGAAATTGATCGGTTGAAGAAATGGTTAGCTGAATTGCGACGTTGTTTTGCGTAGAGTGCGTTCTTTCCGCGACAGATTTGGAGTGCCACATAGGTATACGATGCTTTGATAGGGTGTAAAATGAGTTGGAAGAAGGACGGTCTAGTAGCTGTACGTAATCGGGCAGATAGGGCTTCGGCGTCATTGACAAGCGCCTCCCAGCTGGACAGGATGCTGTTCGCCTCGGAATAGTTGATCAGCGAAAATGTCTCTGGTTCAATATGTTCGTGTTTCCGTAGCGCAATCAGCTTGTCGTACTTGATTAAAAGTTTTGAAGCTGGCGACGCTATCTCGCTGCCAAAGGTACGGGAAGTGAACGATTCGAGGAAGGCCGGGAGGTCGCCCAAAGTCATAGCGTGCGTATCCCATCCCAACGACATGACAAAGCTCAATGGTACTTCAAGGGGCTTTATGTCACCAACGTTGAAGATCCAAATCTGGTCTGCACCACGGCGATGTGCCTGGTCGAGTTGGTGCCAAACCTTGGCAAGAGAATTGCTGTTCAGCCATTTGTAACTTCGCGGCTCTCCAACGTACTCGAGGTGATAGTACACCCCTGCACCGCCTCTTCGCATTCTTTCTGCTTTAGTTGGAAGTCTTCGAATCGTGCCGAAGTTATCGTCGGCAAAGAGGAGTGTCACGTCTTCCGGGATTTCAAGTCCATTTTCATAATACTCCTGCACTTCCTTATACAGTGCCATCACTTGAGGAACTGCGTCTTCTTTACCGTATACATCGTTGATGATGTTTCTTTGCGTCGATACAACCTCTTTCAATACTTCTTGTGGGTTCTCAACTCCCATCTCTCGATCACCATCACCTCGCATTCCGATTGTGATCACGCTCTCAAAATTAGATGCTCGTTGTGCCCCTTCAGCAAAATACTTGGTGATTTTGTCTTTGTTCCTTATCCAATTCCAGCTCTGCTCTGGTTCATTGTACGGCACATCAAACCACTCATTCATCGCACGCTGCATTGGTTCATGATGCGATGTAGACACTACGATTCCGTATTTGTCAGCAAGCTCCTGGTTTAGGGGATCGTCCATGAAGAAAGAGTTCCCTGGATGCGGGTAACCAAACCACATTGCTGGCCAGAGGAAGTTCGCTTTTAGCCGGAGCAGCAGTTCAAAGACGCGCTTGTAGAACTCAGAATTGTACTTTGGTCCATACTTCTCGTGTACCCATGCTGATAGTGCCGGCGCCTCATCGTTGATGAAGATACCGCGGTACTTGACCGACGGTGGTCCTTGGATAGTTCTGACGTCTAGTGCGTAGAGAGACGAGCTTTTCTTCACTGGAGCATCTGCCCACCAATACCAACTAAAAGGTTTTAGCAATGATTGTGCTTGCGAGGAACTCATCTTACTTACGGCGAAACACCAATCTGCTCAGACAACGTATAGATACCGAAAATTGTGCCTCGCTTGTCACTTCCGCAGATCACGAGAGCATTAGCACATCCATCCCATGGCTTATGTACAAGTGCTGTACACCAAGTCTCCCATTTGCTTTTAACAATGGTGATGTCGATGCTCCCATTCAAGGCTAATCGCTGGATGTGTTTAGACCTCTGGATGCTGCCAACGATGATAACACATGGTGATGGGCTCTGCTCTGAGGTGATTGTAGGCGCTTCCCCACCAGTCACTCTCGCAATGTCTTGAGCGAGCGTTGTGGCTGCGATACGGATGCCCTCGAAGTCTTCATGGTCAACAACAATGGGTGCATTGACCAATGAGATTGCGCCGGCAGCTGGCTTGTGTGCCACGAAACCAGCGTGGTGCATGATGCATAAGTTAGCCACTAAATATACGTAGGGAGATCGGAAGCGTCGTCAAAAAAGAATGAGACCACACAGAGTCCGGCGTATAAAAGGCGGCTGTGAGACGGGGAGAAACCTTCCGCACCACAAAGCAAGGTCCTTGGCTATGGTGATAAGGCGATCGTTCTGGGGTCGCAAGACTCTATTTCCTAACGGGTTTCTCGCCTGCTCACGTGCACAGCTCGGAGTATAAAGCTCCGCTCCAGTATACCAGCGCACTAGAATCACCAAGTACCGATTACCAAGAACTTTAAAAAATTTATACTTTACAGGCCAAAAATCCACAGCAACCTAAGGACGCCTGGTAAGACAAAGTGGAAATTTTTTCGTGACATCTAAGAAGATAAAACTGCTTTTCGGAATGAAGCCTAGAATCAAAAGGACGCCTTGTATCGAGACGAGGTGCAAACCGTTTTGCAGTCGCTGTTATCCCTTCAACCGGGTGGCTGGTTCGCGGTAAAACCGGCCGAGATGTCTGGGCGGCGAGAGTTTCCCTGCTTCCCCACCCAACTACTACCCTTATCCCCCCCGGATTTCACCCCCCGCATTGCTGGCCTAGCGGCACGACCCCAAGACGGCAAGAAGCCCGGCTGGGCGTAATCATGTGGCCTTGTTTGCTCGATTGATTCATGGAAGTTTAGTCTTGTGGTGGCTGAAAGGATAATGTACAAATGTCTCTGGTACTCCCACCTGTTGCACATCTCAACCCCCCATTCCCTACTCTCTTCCTTACCAGTATTGACTGGTGAAGGTCGTTAAACAACAGTCTTTTATCTCCTCTGGCTACCATTACAATGGCTATGTCGCAGGTCTCTGCTCAGACGGCGGCGGTGCCACGGCAAAGCTCAGCCGAACATGGCGACCCATTAACGCAGCAGCAGCTCGTTGAGGCCGCCGTCGCCAGCTCTGAAGCTGAGACTAAGCTGCCCCGTATGGAGCTCTTCAAGCGCTACCGACCCGCCGTCATTTACTCTGCGCTTTTGTCCATGGCTCTTGTCATGGAGGGTATGGATGTCGGTCTGATCAACAACTTTTTCGCACATCCTGCCTACCGTCGAAGGTTCGGCAATGTTTACAACGTGAAGGGTGAACTGGTTGTGTCGACCCAATGGCAGACTATTATTGGTGCTGGTAACAACATTGGCTCCATTGTTGGCCTCCTCATCAACGGTTGGCTCCAATCTCGCTACGGTTCTCGCAGGGTATACTTAGTGAGTCTCTCCACGACAACTCGATCTGGAAACACGCTACTTACACGCTGGTTTAGGGCGCGATGGCGCTCATGACAGGCACTATCTTCATCCTCTTCTTCGCGCAAAACGTCGAAATGCTTCTCGTTGGCAACATCATGTGCGGTATCCCGTGGGGTATCTTCCAGACCCTTACCACCGCCTATGCCGCCGAGATTAGCCCCACCGCAATGCGTGGTTACCTGACCGCGTGGGTCTCTATGTGCTGGGGTGCTGGCTCGTTTCTAGCCGCTGGAGTGCTCAAGGGCACTATCGACATTCAGGGCAATGCTGGTTGGCAGATCCCCTACGGTCTTCAGTGGATGTGGATCCCCCCTCTGTTCCTCGTTGCCTGGTTCGCGCCCGAGTCACCCTGGTATCTCATCCGCCGCGGCAAAATTGATGAGGCTGAGAAGAGCCTGCGCCGCTTAGCTCGCCCAGGGCACTACACTGAGCAGTCAATGCGCGAGACCATAGCCCTCATGCAGCATACTAATGAAATGGAGAAGATAGATGCCCAGAATGCTAGCTATGCTGACTGCTTTCGCGGCGAGAACAGGCGACGCACGGCAATCGTTAGCATGGCCTGGATTATTCAGATCTTCAACGGCCAGTCCATCACCAACTTTGCCGCAACAATGCTCCGTGCCATTGGTATGAGCGCTTCCAATGCCTTCAGCTATACTATGGGTATTCAGTCAGTTAATATTTTCGCCACCGGAATCGCCATTTCCCTTATGGGTTCAGTCGGCCGCCGCACCTTCTACCTTTACGGCTCAGCCTCCATAGGCTTCTTCATGCTTATCGTTGGTATCCTAGGATTTGCCATCAAATCAGCCTCGGGCGTTGCCATTCCCGTTGCCGTCTTTCTCATCTTTGTCCAAATCGCTTTCAAGATCTCTCTTGGCCCGACTACCTATGTTATCGCTGGCGAAATACCCTCGTCTCGCGTTCGTGCCCAGACTATCGTCATTGGGCGTTCCCTCTATGTCTGTGGTCAGGTTGTCGTACAGCAACTCAACCCCCGCATGCTCAACGATGATCCTACCGCATGGAACTGGGGTGCAAAAACTGGCATGTTCTATTTCGGCTTTTGTCTGCTCTGGGTAATCTGGATCTTCTTCTTCCTACCCGAGACCAAGGATCGAAGCTTTGCAGAGATCGATTACTTATTCGCGAAGAAGACGCCTGCCCGCCAGTTTCGCAATACGTCAGTCGACTGTAAGTCTCAGTACACTTTTTCTTTCTAATCTTGACTATGGCTGACTAACGCATCTTCTTAGTGTTTGAATTGGCTTCAGAATACAAATCTCAAGAGAAATCCAGCGAGTTCGAGGGAAAGGTCCAGCATATCGATGTTGTTAGTGATGCGAAGCATTCTGCCTGATAGATCGAAACTTTTGTTCATGGAAGCAATCTAAATATTGGAGATTCACTATGTAATAACAACGAAGAGAATCCTGTTGTTGAAGTTCCCTGCCAATTGCGAAGCGGTGCAATCATTCAATTATGCCCTGTTAGTGACGCACATATTATCCCATTAGGTCTGGGTGTAAGTCTCGTGAGATATTAGATAGCTCACTAGATGCCAACCATATGTACAGGAGACATGATTGTGAGAAGGGAGTTTTGTTGTAGTCTTGGTAAGAGTAGGCGGCTCGCCCGTGAGATACGTCGTCTAATTTTTGTTGCGACCGATAACAAAATGCGCAGAGCCCGAGACAGTATCTTTAGGGATCAAGATTTCACCAAAAAGTCACGTGCATAGATGTCACATCTAGCATAGCATATGAGCAAGCTACAATAGCACTACACCCGGCGCAATTTCCTCTTATTACTTCACTCATTAACGGATTCATATTCTTCGAAGATAATATTACTCAAATTGGCTACGCAAACCATAAAAGACACTACCTTAGCACTGCTCAATCCGATTGCATCTAACCTGATTGGTCTCCGATGTTTCCCAAAAATGGTAACCTCATTTGCAACAAGCTTCTCGTGTGCGGTCACAACTTTCAGGTGATTATTTTTCTAGTCTCAAGTCTTGATTTTAGACATTGTTTGGCCGTTACGATTCCACAATCATCATCAACAAGCTGCGCAAGTCAAATGCCAAGACAATGGACACAAGTTCCCTTACGATGAGGCAGAGAAATGGGTATATGGGGGCATACTGAAGGCGATTCTTCAGGGTCTATATCATTCGTCAGTCAAAACTTCGGTTTCAAACTCGACAAAAACCGAGAATCGAGGAGATGCATAACTCTGGATCAGGTGTGCAGTAACATATTTCTCTAATGATGATATCCGAGTGAGTGCGACAACAACTTGGACATAGAGCCAATCGAACAAAATACAGAGAGACCTTTTCTCGCATTCAGTACCAACTACAGTAGTGATCCTTGACTCTATTATGGGGCGACAGATTAGATCAGAGGTCTAGCTCGCTCATCACGTTTCCCGTTGATGCCTCATGTCATAGTTCTAGTGGCGGCGGGCGATTCCATCTCATCGTTCAAGACCTCCTTTCCTCTACTTCGTTATAATCTTCGGTATGTACTGTGGGATTCTTCCCATGGACAAGTTGATCCATAGTCCGGGCCCAGGCCCTGAAAAAGGCACTCCAGGCGACTTGGCGCAACATGGCCTTCTCAGTGACTCGCAAGAGGCGCACAAGAGAATCCGGCCCGTGCAAGATACCCACATTCGTCAGGTGAATATCAGTGTCTCCTCCAGTCTTTGCCCAATTTTCAACGTCCTCTCGGCTAGTGAGCTGATCCAGCCGCACAATACGCCGCCGCGCCGTGTATGACGGCCCAAGGTTCGTGTCTGCTGATATCTGAGAAGGCTTAGACTCCACTTTTCGTAGTTCTATGTAGAGTAAGATGTAGCAAACCGCAACCCCAACACTGAACACGTCGTAGCTCGCAAGATGCCGGGAGGTCTGAACCGACTTGTAAATACATGCGGCATGCCACAGACACTTCCTCGACCGCGTTTCATTGCGCTCTAGAAACTCCCTAAATTTTGTCTTGAAGCCTGTCATCTGGGCTGTGTCACTTCGCCAGCCGGTGCCGGCAAACAAAGTCCGCAAGGAGATGGAGCAGAGGATAGCTAAAACATGAGGGAGAGATCCATGGCAGCGCCCGGGCTCCGACGTCAAAAACGCGACATGGTCGATAGATTCGTGTAACAGTACATTCTCAAAACCAGCATCCTCATTTTCGATGAAGGGGTGTCGGGAAGGAGTCTTGGAGATTCTTGGGCTCATGGCTCTGAGATAGGAGCCGAATGAGTTCATTGCAAGTCTTGACGCGAGTCGTTGCTTTTTGATATTCTTCTCGTCGATGTACAGTGCCAATAAGCTCATCTTGGACAAGAATGGATCGCAATCCGCCTCAGGCTGTGGGACTTCCTGAGATGCTCTTAGGTGTGATCGGACAGCTACACAAATTAGTTATGAAATGAGTTGTCCGATTTGTGACACACCTTCAAGGTGCATTCGCTTTAACTTCCAGTCTTCAATATCCTTGGAATACCATATGTTGCTGGAACAGGGCATTTTCAGCGATACATCAAATAGACTGAAGTCTGCGGATATGTCAGTGAAGAGGAAATAGATGCATACGAGCACTATGATACATTAGTATTGTAACATCCATGCAAATTGAAAATCCCAGACTGACTATGGGTGCAATAGATTAGACGTGTTTCTTCTTCCGATGCAAGCCAGGCTGCCCACTCCTCACTAAGAGTAAGAGCACTCTCCTGGCCTGCTCTCTCTGTGTCTGTTCGAAATACCATGTTATAGCACATGGAAATGAGCATATGCCGTTGATGGTGGAACAGAATCATCTCTTTGTGCAAACCGCAGGATGAGAGGTGAATCTGGCGTAAGAAAGTGCTTTGAATGAGGGGCTTGCTTGGCCGTTCGATCTGTACTATGATCTGTAGAGGCTAGTCAGCACACGCTCATAAGAAGGGTAGGAGGGAGATGTCGAGGTACTTCATTGTCAACTGCTCTGCCTAACAAGTCACACAATATCGAGGTGTATTCTTGTATATCGTCAAGTTCAGAGTAGTAGCTTCCGATAGCCGCCGTCGCTAGGAGCAAGATCCAAGGCAATTCTTCGGATTCTAGGCGTGACACATGCAAGAAGGGAAACTGAGGGTCAAAATACTCGAAGTAGAGATCGACAAAGGCCTGTACAAGGTGTATAGGAACAAAACACGATGTGCTGTCCTGGCATTGCGTTGCGTAGAAATTTCGTAAGTCTTCATATGCACGAGGGGGGACATGTTGGACGTTGCCGAATGTCTCCGCCTCGGCGGTCTGCATGTGATTGTCTTGCATTTGTGGGAACCGTCGACATGGAGGCTTGCCGTGCAAACCAGAGCTGTTCACAGTTGGATATGTTAAATTCGGATCAGAAAAATGGTCTGGCAAAGGACGATTTAAACACTCTGCTGGAAGGGCTGACGGTTCTTGGCTTTGCATGCGATAATCTGGGGGGTGGCTAAGTGTCTCGACGCTGCACTGCTGGTTGTGATTTCTGATATCACATGGAGTATCAAGGACGTCTCCCAGTCCCTCGGGTACCAGCCAGAATGGAAAGCAAGCCGTCATAGGGTCCCAACCGGCTGCAAACTCGTCCATCGCTGTGTCTCCATAGTGGGACAAAGAGGAGTCCCATTGATCGGATGTAAAGAGAGCAGCACCATTTTCCAGCGACGAAGGGGTAAAGGTAGCAGGCATGGGAGTTGGGTGCGAGGCCACTATAGGAGAAAATGAGAGGCGGCCTTGACTGTCAATGGCAGAGCTGCCGGTGGGGTTGCTGGTATTGTGATACAAAGCAGTCTGCTCAGGGGCCTCTAGTGGCTGCCTATTCATCACGTGAAGCCCGGATGATTGACTATTGGCATCACTAGGATATTGATCAAGTGGAGCTGGGCTGCTCATCACAGCATCAACACGAGTAGTGAGTGTTTCGCTCGTTCGAGAGGAGAAATCTCTGACACTTGTGGCCTTTCCTTGGCTATACGTGCACTTTGTTCCGGCTTGCTGGCAGCGCGCACATGGCAAGCCGCCCCGACAACGCTGCTTGAGCCGGGCACAGGAAAGACAAGCTTGGACGCAGCGGCGCGGTATGTTTGGTATCTGATCTCCATGGTGGTGAATGCTACTGTGGCGCACGAGGGTGTCCCTACGACGATGCTTCTGATTAGCGACATTCTGCGCGTCTACCCGGTCCTGTAATACTACACACGACGCACCTCCGAGCGAAAGACTTGGAGCAAACCTCGCACTGGAATGGCTTGATACCAGAATGCCTTCGCATATGCCGAGCCCAGTGCTCTCTCCGCAGGAACGTATCTCCGCAATGCTCACAAGTGAGGCTCGCCGGGTCAGACGCCATTTCCAGCCGGTTCGACTTTGGGTGGGGAGGGAATGCGATGGTTAGGACTGCACCGGCATCGACCCCACACAAGCCGTCGCTGGAGTTCGTGCCAGGATTTCCAAGTTGTCAGATTTTACAGTCCTCGGCAATGTTCACGCCAGGTGACAGGCATCTAGTGAAGGGGAAAGGTAACGGTCAAGTTCGGAAGAGCGGTCTGGACCCACCCCCGCCGGCCCCGCCGGCCCAAAGGGGTGATCTGAGCCATGCTCCACCACTTGAGAGCTAGAAGCCTGCCGAGGCCGTAATGTGTAGCAATCCGCGGATCGAGTCCGCTCCGCCGGGAACGGCAGGGAAGATACCCACGTACGAGGCTCTCAAAGTATTTGAATAAGAGCCTCTATCATGGCCCAATCGCAGACGCACATTGCCCGCAGGCTCTTGATTTACCTAAGGTAATCGTGCCGGTCTGCTGGATATCCTCTTGCTCCCAATAGCCACAATGGGGCAAATGGGGAATTCTACTGACCACACAACCCTTGAATGGTTCGGTGAGGACAACCCTATCTTTTTATGCTCATCTGTAGTAATGAGATCCAGGCGCCACTACGTTTCGGCTTCGTACCAGAGGCGTCACCATCTTCTTGGACACCTGGCTGGATAAGCCGTCCGTTCTGCCTAAGTATCTTGCTGTGGACGACATAACAGAAGCAGACTACATCTTCATCTCTCATGCTCATTTTGACCAGTAAGCCAATGTCCTCTTGATCGGCGTGACACAGCAAGCTGACTGCTTGGGTAGTCTGCCTGGAGCCGACCGCATCGCCATCAGAACCGGCGCTATTGTGATCGCCAACGGTGAAGCAATCCACTGTCTTCGGAAAGCGGGCGTCCCTGAAGAGCAGCTCATTCCCGTGTCTGGCGGCGAGCGGATACCGCTTTTCACGCGCGCAGTTCGCCAGCAAGCACAACAGGACCCATCGCTACAAGCTAAAGGGTTTCCCGGCGCCCCTACCTTCCCAGTGCATACACTGGCTGCCATTTCGGTCCATGTATGGCCCTCCCTGCATTGTCTGATGCCTGAGGACCACCCCCAGGTCATTGATACAGCGACGGTGTACACCGGTTCAGCAACCCCCTACACCTGCTCCCTAGATATCACGTTCGGGATGAAGCATGGCCTCTTGCGTCTCGGCGATCTTGTCCCGCCTGAGAAGCTTAGCGATGGCCAACGCTCGTTCATAGAGTACATTGGTGATCGGAAACGTAATGTATTCTCCCACTGTGACGGTGGTCAGTTAATGTTTAACTTTGTCATCGGAGAAAAGGCCCTTCTCTGGAGTGCTCACCTTGGCGCCTACGATGGTGTTATGCGGGACATGCAGCCCAAGCCAGATGTCGCCATCTTGGCCATTGCTGGGCGAGCCAACTTGAACGGACGACCGTTTGATGGCTCATCGGCTCAATTTGCTGTCAAAGAGATTGAGTGGCTTGGCAATCCGCCGACGGTGATTTGGGCCCTTCATGATGATAGGTGTGTGGTTGCCCGTTGAAATATAGTACCGTTACGGAAACGAGGAACTAACATGCCTGAATTAGCTGCATTCCCCCTTATCGAATTGAAACAGCAGCAGCTACCGCCGCGGTAGAGAAGTTGACTAAATCAAAGGTTTTGGATATGAAGCATGCTGAGATGGTCGTGCTAGATTTGTAGGATTTGATGACGGTTCAAGACTCCACCTCGAACTGTAGATAATGCAGATCGACCCATGTATCCTTCGTCATCTTAGAACTTATGTAAAATCGACGTCTGAAAAAAAAGAAATGCATTAATGCACATACTCACACTGTCCGTACCATTTGACCCATTGCTATTTATTTATTCCGCTTTCTTTACTGAGTAATTTCATCCAATATTATCCTCTGGAACACAGACCAGCCATGATGTACCAATTTCTCTACCTCTTTCTGTAATCATCTAAACAGGGTCACAAATACAAACGGCTGTTGCGGTATTGTGTGTCCCACACGGCCCCGCCGGCAAGGCCTATTTGCCATTCAAACTATGGATGTTCCTAGGTATGAGCCTAAAACAGGCAAACTTAGCGAAGTTCGTAAATACACGAGCACATCGCACCTCTCATCAAAGATCACCTCAACTCAAACTGCTTCCATCTTCTTCCATCCCATAGCACTACCTGTAAACATGTCCCCAACTAATGATATCAGTGGATTCAAGCCGAAAGCAAACGATCTTGGAGAAAAAGAAACACCGACAACGAATTTGGAGGAGACGAATAGCGAGACTGATGTCTTCCCCGAAGGTGGGCGAGAAGCTTGGCTTGTAGTCCTGGGTGCATGGTGTGTACTGTTCTGCACCTTTGGCCTAGTAAGCTGCGGTGGAATATTTGTCGAATACTATAAAAATGGACCTCTTGCATCGTACAACACTGGGACTGTCAGCTGGATAGCCAGTGCGCAAGTATTCATCCAAGTCGGTAGCATGGCCGTGGTACGTTCTTCCTCTCCCCCCGTATCTCTCTGCCCCCAGAGCCGCCTACTTACATACAATCACCAATAGTGGGGTCGCCTATACGACTCATACGGTCCGCGCTGGATGCTCCTCCTGGGAACACCCGTGTACTGCTTCGGTCTCATGATGACCTCACTTTCGACCGAGTACTACCAAATCTTCCTCTCGCAGTCGGTCCTCAGCTCGCTCGGGTCAGGTGCCCTCTTTAACGCCGGCATGACATCCACGACGTCATGGTTCCTCCGTAAGCGCGGCACTGTGTTCGGCATCGTCAACTCGGGCTCGTCGTTTGGCGGTGTCGTCCTCCCTATTATGCTGACACACCTCTTTCGCTCCATTGGATTCGCTTGGACCCTCCGTGTGCTTGGCTTCTTCTTTCTAGCCCTGGGTACAATTGCCTGTGTCACAGTCAAGACGAGGTTGGTGCTAAAACCGCGTCCTATTTCTCTCTCTGATTACGTCCGGCCATTTCAAGAACGAACCGCTGTATTGACCATGCTCGGTGGATTCTTATACTTTTGGGGCATGTTTCTGCCTCTCAATTATATCGTCGTCCAGGCACAAGCGAACGGCATCTCATCATCCGTCATTCCCTACCTCCTTTCCATCATCAATGGGGTGAGCCTCATTGGCCGCCTGCTCTGGGGTGTTCTGGCCGATCGGTTCGGGTGTTTCAATTGCATAGTCATCATCAACTGCTTTACGGGTATCGTAACGCTAGCTCTCTGGATTCCGGGAAGCAAAAACACAGCCGCTATCATTATTTATGCAATTGCGTTTGGTTTCGGATCAGGTGGCTATGTCACCATGTTCCCAGCCTGTATGGCACAGATATCACCACAAGATGAGATAGGCACGAGGATGGGTCTGGCACAGTTCACCAATGCATTTGGTGCTTTAACGGGATCTCCGCTTGGGGGTGCTCTGATCTCAGGTCACGGTGATACAACCAACTTTCTTGGCCTTCAAGCATTCTGCGGTATTGCTATGATAGCATCCGTCATAGCTCTAGGAGGAGCGCGTTATATGCAGGCTGGCCTGAAGTTGGTCAAGGTATAAGCCTGGGGACGCTAACTGTACATTGCTGCTGCTCAACAAGGCATGGGGTCTTGCTTAAATGAACCGAATTCGAGCCCGGGAAACACACCGCTGGCGGATATGGAGCTCTTTCGTACTTTTTTCACCATAGCATACCAACTTTCAAGCCAAAACCTCCGCTATGCACAATATACAAGGGAACTCGTATCATGTTTTCTATAAAATACATGTGAGCCCAAGGCTGTGTGCAAGTATTTGGAGCGACTGGTCGCGATCGGACTTGGGTATGTATGACATATTCCAATGCTAACTTCCTGCTAAAGCTGCAATCAACTTGTGCAAAGCGTACAATCTTTGACATAAATTCTCGTAGTCAAATTGCATAGTATTACATAGAAGATACATCAAAGCCATATCACCTGAAAAGCCCTCGGTTGCTTTCCCAATACTCATAAATTTTCTAATACCCCGAAATTGTGTGCCATTGCCACTGAAAGGGCAAGGCTAAGGAAGTTCAGGAGCCTCATCATGAGGCTCCCAACCCAACCTTCGAGCGACCTGCAAAACTGCACCTACCACTACCAGCAGTAGGCGAACACCAAGAACAATTATTTTGCCTCGAGTGGTATCGAGGTCTGGCAACTGCATACATCTTTCAGTCAGTATGGTCGAGAAAAAAAGGAATTGAAGGGAAGAGATGACTTACAGTTTGTTGAGCACTCGTCTTGACCCAAGCCATAGCTCGAGGAATCATGGCTTTCTCATATATGGCCAGCTGAGTGCGCGCTTCCTCGTCTGTTACCAGGCCACGTGCCTTTTTATGCCGCGCTAGTTCGAGGAGAGGATCCAGAATGTCCGCTGTATCGCGTAGGGCATTGTTGGCACCCATGCCTCGTGTCGGGAGCATTGGGTGGAATGAATCACCCATAAGCCAAACCCGTGGATGCGCGATTTCAGGATTCGGCAAATCTACCTTGTCTGCCCGCGTCCGCCGCCGCCAATCCACAGGCGTGTCCTTTGCTTGCCGTGAGGAAACGGCCTGAAGCGCTTCGGGCGCCATGGCATCTATGAGTTTCATAAGTTCAGGGTGCCATTTGGCTTCTGCCATCTGCTGCCGCATGTAACCTTTTGGATCGGCTAGTTTGACAACCTCGCGCGGAGAAAGGCCTCCATCCCAACCAAAGGCCACCATGAGTGATGCCTCTGCCTCGTCATAGTGGCTTGGTTCTCCCTTATCTACAGCTGGCTGACTTGAAGCCTTCTCCTGCCGCGAAGTCATGCTGTCGGGAAGGTAGAGTGCGGCAAATAGTTTGCATCCTTGGCCGGCGGTGTATATCGTGCCTTTTTCCACCAGTCCACGCGGAAGATCGCGGAGGACAGACCGTGAGACGTGACATTTCCCTAGGACGCCACCGCTGTCCGTCTTCGGGGGATCGACTATGTTGTTGCATCCGAGTTGTTTGTTGATTCGACTTCCACTACCTTCGGCCGAGATCAGAATGTCACAATCTGCATTCGCGCCATCGGAGAAATAGACCCTGATCTTGCTGTTGGGGACACCTTCGGGCTTGATGACTTCGTACTTCAAGAAGGTCTTGCTGTGGCGTATGACGTTCTGCTTCAGGAGTGGTTCCTGTAATAGATTGCGCAGGCGAGCCCGTCCGATCGGTGCCGACTTCTGGTACACTGGAAATTTGCTGAGGTCCAACACGAGCTTCATGTCGGGGTCAAAAATGGCTGGTGCAGAAGATACAACGCCTCCGGATCGACCAAAGCAGAGAAGTAGATTCGTATATTGGCATTGCGTCAGGCATGCTCGAAGTCCGATAAGCGCATATGAGCCCAGGCGAATCTGGTAGCCGTCACGACCAGAATCTCGCTCATCCCTTTCATAGATAGTGACATTCACAGGATCCTTCGCTTTGTTGATGATTCCATTGGCCAGGCAACTTCCAGCAAGCCCTCCCCCGATTATGATGACATCTAGGGCAGCCATCGGTGCTGTGAGTTGTCAAACGTGATAAAGGAAAATCAGGATCGAGGCTGGCGCTCTGCGTTTCTCAGTCCGTGTTGCCGCATGTCTTCATTAATTAATACAAAGCTTTTATGGTCAAAGCCATTTGCATGGTTACCTGTGTCCCACCGGGTAGTATATGGGCTCAGGTACGGATCTGTAAATCAGGGGCTCGAAACAGCTTAGCCCTCCGCCGGCCCCACCGGTAGTACTTGGCTCTGTATTTGGGAACATTGATGCAGGGGATACGGGTGCCTTTCTTTTGGCAAGCGTAGACCTTGACTGGGCTGCCACCATACCGACTGTTGATCATATTAGACATTATTAATAAATAGTTAAATTGCAAGACACTGCATTGGCAAAAGACAGTGTGATGTTGCATTTGCTGAATGTTTGCTGAAATACGTGAGCTCACGTGACGTCACGCCAAGACTCCTTGCTGACATTACACTTCTGTATGCAAAAGTCTTCGACGGTGTCCCGGAAATCCCAGAAGTGGCTCAATGTTTTGTAGCCATGAACGCTTGTCGCGCGCTTGCCAAGAAGGCAGATGTATTCTTCACCAAGAATGTTACCTATCCCTCTACTACTATATGAGTAGATTAGTAGTTATCAATCCTTCAATCTTGTCCGTGGTATGTCAACCCATCGCCAGACAAACCTCAAACGGAACTTGTCACCAATTCGGCTCGCCTAAACCAGGACCGTGCTGAGGGAAAAGTGAGCACCTAACTCCGTGTAACACCTTTCCGCCTGCTATGCCTATTACTGCAGAAATATATGTGTAGAACATAGCCCATACTTTGTAGGAACTAATTGAATTGAATTCAATACGTCTTATATACGAAGCATTGGCTCTCTATATTGCAGCTTGTGACACGAGTACTTAGCTCCTCTTAAATCCACCTACCTCCTCTGAAAAGTAGAGAGAGAAATTAGCTCTGAGATCCTTCTTGTCTAATAACCTCATAGACGGAATAAATTGTTAGCTCTTGATAGGTATTTCATAGACTGCCCGATCTGTATATGTGTATTTATTATAATGTTAGATACGTAATCGAAAAGTAAAAGAAACATAGATTGAGAAGTCCGCGGAAGATGACATAAGATTCAATTGTAATAAGTGCAGCGTCGTTAGAGTTAGTATGCCTAGAAGACTTATATACCAGTGTTATAGGCTTAGTCTGAAACATTCGAGGAATCGCGTTCTTCATAACCTCTTCGATCTCTAAATCTATGTTATTGAAATTCAAAAAGGGAGCACAGGAAATAAATCTCCTTTCGGCGTTTTTATGAAGTGCTTCCTGAGTATTTCAAGGTCGAAAGGTTAGATTACCCTGGAATGTTTTCGTAGTCTGGGTTAATTCACTTGGCCCTTTTTTACCTGTTTGCTGTAGTTATAGCGTATTAGATTCATTATCTTAGAAATAATAACACTAACCTACTAAAATTAGATTTTTCAAAAATAAGTTTAAAGTTAAAGTACCGAATAAACGCATTTAGGTGGACCTCTGCGAGATTTTGTTAAACTATGAAAAATAGGTTGGTATTACTACTAACGCCTATTTCTACTATACCTATCATAAAATTATATATATTCTTTCATAGTCATATTTAAATAATAATGAGTATATTTTTTAAGATAGCTTTAAGCTGAATTAGCGCAGTATAGCGTTGGTAGTAGGCATTCTGAAAAGTTAGTGGCGTTGGTGTTAGTAGGCCAGACGAGCTTACTGAGGCCGAACTTGTGGCTAGTGACTGTATTTTATGGTGTGATGCTTACTGTAAGTAGATTAGCTGGCTCTAACTAACGTTCTTTCTGTTGTCCGACGTGAGCGGCAGCTGATTCTACAAACCCTAGCCACCCCTTTCGAATGCTTGCATTGCCTCCCACGTGTTCTATTGAATAGGTCAACTATAACGTCCACTCGTTCTGATAGGCTGCCTAGCCGTGTATACATGCCAAGCTGGTTATATGTGGTATTTTTTTATTTCTTCTACGGCATCGTGTAGCTATTACCCCTTACTTGGTTTGGTAAAAATTTATTGAATTGCCCTAATCTGTATGCAAATTGCGGTTCGTTTGATTGCCGCTTTATATGAATAGGAAAGTAATATTACTTGTTATGAGATAAATAGTAATATAGAGCAAGTTGATTAAAGAAATTAATGGTGGTATTATTAACCGACCACGAGTTTGCGCGTAATTATGCGAAATCGAGAGCAACTTATAGTCTTGTGGACTAAAGTCTTATGCGTTTTTGTTACTCATTAAGGAATAGTAGTCTTGAGGTTGGTTTTGTAGTATATGGCGTAAGAGATAGTAGTCGCTCTATTTTGTACGAAATGGCAATAGTATGTCTGGTTGCGCCTCGAGTACAAATTTCAAAGCTGGTGTGAATGAGGATCTTTTCGAAGTTCTCAACACTGGTGTCGTCTTGATGATCAATACTCAAGAACATATTTGTTAAAGCCATTGAAATCCCCTTTATCAGTGCTGTTTTCAGAGATGAAATAATATGCATATAGCTGCATCAGCTTTGAGTCGAGATATGACTGTGGGATAGGTGGAAATCTTATCGTCTGCATTACATGTCTAGACACGTGTCTCGACTGATATAAACTGACATTGAGTATGGTTATCCTTGTCTGGATTTGTGTTAGAGAGATCCTTCTGACACTGCTTGTGGTGTAATTATAGAGCGCAATGAGCCACTTCTTCACTCGTTCATATGACGCCCGTTTCCGGGTATGAACGTAGTGATTTCATCTAAGGACCGCCCCTGCCTGATGACACTCCAGATATACTCGCTACAGTGTTTAACGTGCGCTTCTTTCGTATTCCACGGTTCGATCGAATGCTCCTTCATATGTTGACCAAGAAGCTTTATTTGTTTGCGCCATGTGAATAAGCAGTGCGCCACAGGCCACTCTGTCGTTGCCCAATAGTTTTCCTCACGCTGCGCAAGCGTATCAATGGTTTTAGTCGGTTCATCTTCGATAGGAATGAAGTTTCGGCCAAGTATCCCCTGGGACTCAATACGGTAATGAGACCACGTTCCGTTTGTATTAGGACCTGAAGCATCGAATTCGGCCACGAGACCAGCATCATGGCAATGCGACGGCAACCCGTCAACAGCGATATGATCGTATATGTAGCCGTTGCCACAGCATCTTAATCCTGCATACCGCACCAGCATTGTGTAATGCCTTTGTTTGTTCAACCTAGTTTCTCTCAGCTTGCGTTACGAAAAACGATCGAGAATATGTCTACGAAACCCTGAATAGTTAAATTAAAGATAGTGATATGTATTAGGGTAATTTTCAATGATCCTGTTCGAGGATGTGTCGGTTCGTTGTCGGACAAGCCTATTAAGCCTCGCAGCATAATCTTGTCGTGGTCCAGCTATTGTTAGTGTTCTTTGGTGTACAATTAGCGAGGTGATCAGTATAACTCTTCTTCTATAGACTTTTGCGTCTCTGAAAGAGTCTAAATCGATTTCAAAATCAAATAGATTCTTGTATGCAGCCTACAAAGTGTACATTGTGTTACTAACCGGTGGTTTGGGTCACAACATAGTCACTTGGTGCACTTTCCCGTCTTTGTGCGCTTGTCTTGTTATAATATACCTCATTTTTATAAGTTGTTACCTTCCTTACCGCTTATTTGTGGCGCCATTTCGTGATTGCAAGCTCAACATGTGGGTGTTTATTGTGAGGGGTTTGATTTGCCTTAGCCTCCAGATTTTATGCCTTCGTTATTACTTTGTATCCCTTGGCTTATAGATTGTACGGATAAGAAATCTTAGCATTCTCGTGACATAGTGAAAAAAACCACTGTAGGTAAGACGTTAGTCTGAGATAGAAAAAGCAAACAAGGACCAGACACCCGAAGGTTTCTCGACCCTAGAGAGTCCATTCGTCAGTGGCTTTCGTAGCCGCCTGGAAGTAAACGAGTCTCTCACACCCGAAAATTTTGGATCGTGCAGATATTACAATCCTGCTATCCATGACTGGTCTGTAAGAAAGTGAGTATGGGACCAACAGACACAGGAAGCAAATCTTGACCGAAAAGCCCGACAGCTTGAGATCCTACAATTATTTTCTTTGAATACCTTCATCTCTGGATACCTGCCATGTCACATATGGCTTTGTTCTCTGCAAACCAAGAGATAAAACTATGGCGTGGCGGGGTAACCAGCTTTGTAAGGGTGATGATCAGCACATGCGTGTATGCACGGATTACCGTGCCACTCAAAGTACCCCACACAGGTCCTAAAAACGACATCATCGAAAAGTCCATAATGAACGCCAAGGATTGTTTTATGATTTAATGTACGGGTAATATCGATTACTCCTCACGGTTACCACAAAAGGTTAGATACTGTTCCTCATAAAAGACTGAGATCCGTGGAAGTCTTTCTTGCTCAGCATTACTCCGGGTTGCGAAGTATAGTGAGTGAAAGATGACACAATTAGGTGCACTTTAGTATAGCCTGTCTTGCAAAGAAGAAGTATAAATATTGGACATATAAAAGAACTTTTGTATATAAACACAAACATCAAGCACACAGTATCTCGCTCTCTTATCCTCCTTTTTTTTCAGCAAATCTTCAAAAAAGGTCATGAAAACCTTTTTCAAATTCGCGACCTTGATCATCACCATGGCTGCCAATGCTATTGGTCGTTCTTTGTTGGTCAGTCAAGATGGCTAGTGCCTTCGTACCATTACGGTTCGAACATTGTAATAATGACAAGATCCAAGGAAACCGTGCGGGGCCCGAGCTTGCCCGGACTGTCAAGTTTCCTTCACTGATTAAGGCTGAGCATGGCTACGATTTAAATAGCGTAGACCGCGACGGTATATATCGAGCGTACCATGCATATGGTCGAGTCTTGGATGCGGCGCGGCTCGGTCGTACCCAGATTAATGCCTACCTAGAGGCCTTAGAGGGTGCTGTAGCTGCTGGAGCATACACTGAAGAACAGCTGGCAAAAGACCGACTCAACTACCGTCCCTGAGGAGAAACTACTACACCCAAACGAGGACATGAAACCTGCGGCCAAGCTAAAGTTTGCGTTTCAGTACTATTAAGAGCAGGAAGCGAAGGTGGTCTCGACTGAAAGACTCACTCGCAGACAGTACGAGTTTTGTTGGTCTCGCAATTACTGCAGCAGTCCCGGTCAATGAGCTTACCCATACTGTTGCAATTACCCCATCTGCAAATAGCAGCTAGATTCTTGCTAGGTCACTTACGGATTCTTGCGGAGCCTGTTGACATTTTTAAGAAGTTGAAGGTGTACAAGGAGAAGGCAACATGACTTTGATAAGAATGTTTATCACAGTAATTTTGTAGCCAGGAGGATCGAGTAATATCATGTAAACATCAAATAGAATTTCGTTAGCAGTGATGGTTAATATAATATATGCAGCGGGTAGAGTAGGATAGTTCTCCATGCAAATATCCGCCGTCTACAATTGCCATGCGTTCATTTTCAATACATCTTAGTGAAGTATAAAATGTAAAACAAGTAGATTGAGGTCTTTTACAAACAAGGTGGATGAGAATGTTAAGGATATCGATTCAAAATAACAGGTAGTATAGTGCACAATGTTATCACATAAATGCCCAGGGAATCGCTGATACTCACAAATAGGAGGACGATAAATCTATCAGCTGTAACATGTAGCACAAGCTCGTTCTGTTCGCCTCAAAGGTTCGCCTCTGGACAATCTAGTAATGACCTATTATTGCTGCTATTGTCCTGTTTTCGATACACCGTAGCTATGTATATATTTGGCGGTACGCCTCCCCATGTAGTTGTTTAAACATTAGGATTCCTTTATATAATGGATACGAATATTATGCTCTGACTTTCACCCACTTGTGAGTGGACCTACCGCCGACGCCTATTGTCGAGGAGCAGTTTGGTAAACAAGAAGAAATGTAGAGCAACTATTCTATATTGAAGTGTTCCGTTGAATAGAACAAGGAAATAGAGCGTAAAGGAAACGACAATTGGTTCCATTTTGTTCAGTTTACTTGATGTTTTGGTTGTTTTCACGCCAGTCATGTTCTTGGCCTAGTGGTGATGGCTTTGTACGCCACCGTATTTCAAGTTTTCGTCTGATAGGTGGATATATCGTGTGAAACTGGGATAAGCACTTGCAGAAAATCAGATGATCGCATTCCCGTATCTTATTGGTTAGGTTTCATATTACAACAGCCGCTTACGTGATCCTCGTCAAAGTATTCTATCTTCGTACCATTGTATATTATTAAGGCAACTGCCCCTCTCACGAGTACCCTTTGAAAGCTCATTAATTAAACATGAAGTTAATCATCACAGGTGCAACTGGTTACGTGGCCACCGCAGTGCTTCGACAAGCTCTTCTCCTGCCATCAATCACGTCTGTCGTAGCTATTGCACGACGCTCGGTATCGTGTCCCAAAAGCATACCCACCGCCAACGCATCGAAACTGAAGAGCATTGTGGTTCCAGCCTACGACACATATTCGCGAGATGTACGAAGAGAATTAGAGGGTGCGAATGCCTGCATCTGGTATATCACATGTTCGCGAAGCGGTTGTGTATGTTTTATAGCTTACAATTGTAGGACGGTGGCGATCACACCTTCAAAAGCACGCCAAATGGCCCCAGAAACGGTGCGTATGGTATGCCAGGACTGGGTGGTGGAAGGCCTCAAGGCAATTCTCGAGGCAAACCCGAGCCCAGAACAGCCACTTCGATTCCTGTATATGAGTGGTTCTATGGCCTTTGATCCAGCGCGCCCACGAAGCAGAAATAAGACTATCTGGATACCAAGCTATATAATGGAGTACTCCAAGATGCGTGTAAGTATTTCGGGATGTCAAGTAAAGTGTGAGCTATTAACGCCCTGCAAAGGGTGAGACAGAAACCCAGCTCTTGGATATTGTCGCGGAGAACAGGACAATTGCTGAGGTCTGCATTGTGAAACCTGGATACATCAGTGGCAAAGATCTATTAAATAGTATCTTTGGTATGTTATTGTCGCTCACGGGGTTGGCAGAAACTATACATATCAATGAAGTATCAGCCGCGATGCTACATCAAATAGTCCATGGTTTTGAGGATTCAGACGGTGTTCTTTTGAACAAAGAGCTTTTAATCATTGGTAAAGAAGCCATAAACCTGAAGAAGTAAAGAGGAAAGACTTTATCATCTTCTAAGTTCATAAAATTTCTTTTTATGTAGAAGTAGAGACACCTTAGGTTCTATGTTCAAGTCACATCTTCTACAAGTAAGCCCCGGGCGTGCGAAAGTATTTAAGGCTACCACTCGGAAGCTCCGCATAAGAAATATCAGGGAAATGTTCTTGAATGCGGAAATATGCAACGCACAAATACGTAGTGTGAGGCATTACTAAGGTAGCTCTGATGTAACATGATCTTGTTTCATCTGGTTCTGTTACGCAAGTTCTAAACACTAATCCTGTCGCAGATCCTAGGATATCAAATCGCATCCTTAGGTATCTTGGCACCTGAAACCTTATAGGATAGCCATACATCTCGGGCGCCAACGTTGTCCGCTTTTCCGAGCTTGCACGCCACCATCTATGCTTGACATGCGAGGTTGTCGCAAAGCAGCTCTTATTGGTCCGGGAGCTCTCTAGAGCAGAATTCATGCCTCGGAATGAATGTTTTTATGGCAGGGAGCCATGTTGAAGTGGTGCTTTTGAAATCTATAAATTCCAATGTAGTAGCTGTGGGAAGAATCAGACCCATCTTTGAATTTTACTTATCTCTAACCTGATATCTAACAAGAGTCTTAACAATCCTCTCTACTATAGAATTAAAGAATTGTTACTATAGCATTTCCTGTCAAAATGCACTTCACCAAAGCTATCGTCATCATGCCCTTTGTCGCAGGAACTTTCGCTGCAAGTACGTTAAAATCGATTCGATTATATCCACCAAACCTTGCAGTTCTTTTAACGATTCTAACTACTGTCCTAGGCATTTATCCCCGACAGTTTGGCCGAAACCCTATTGCCTGCAATGTAGCGCGCTTTCAAATCGTGTCTGCATTAGCCGACACTAGTGACAGTGTAGACAAGATTAAGGACCAAACCGTCGCTACAGCCGCGAAGACAGGCATTGATCAGGCGACTAATGGCATTGGTGAGATTGCTAAGGCTATACTTGCAGGAGAGGCTCCACCAGCTGCTAGTCGAAATGAGACAGCCACTGGAATTACAGCTGCTACTACAGCTTTGGGAGGGGGCGATGCGTATGTTTCTTATCCTACGTGAAGCTAAAGGCTTAAGGTACTAACACTTGGTCTTAGGTCTGACCCGGCTGTTGTATCTGCACAATCTTCAATTGCGGACGCTGCGAAAGCTGGAGAAGATGTTGTGGCACAATGCTAGTGCATGGTGGCTACAAAAGGCTGTAGTTAATATTGGTTGATATCATTTATTTCCTAAAACTAGCCTATTGTAGTCCTACACTACATCTTGTGTAGACAACCTTTTGCAAAGACCATTCTGAAATATTGTTCATTGTTTAGAGGTTTATTGCACACAACCTTGCCATACATGTAGTAGATCGCTATCAGAGTTATTGAATCTATTAAAAAAAATCCTTTTTATACTTACATGATAGTGAACACTAATTTGATCAAGAAATCGGGACTCTTAAAGTGCAAAGCGTTCATTAGGATTTCGAGATGAAAAGGTAGAGAATACTGCTGTTAAAGGCAAATTGATAAAGTCACTATGCACGTATGATGCCTATGTCGTATTATGGGTAATATCGCAAATGAACTATGTCTTGATCCCAAAGCATCTGCTCTATTCTCAGCTCTCGCTGAACCCATTTGATTGTAGTAACTGCCCATATAGCAGCCCATGTGAACGGCACAACCCAACCTAGCTGCATAATTTGTGTTGTTATCAGCAACAAGAAACACGTCGAGGCCGAAGAGTAAGATTGGAAAAAGAAATTGAGTTTAAGTATGCGTATAGGCAGGAATGGGGATTGGACATGATGAAGGTACTCACAACATAGGAAAGGTCTCTTTTTAGCGAGAAAACCAGAAATGTCGTTCCCACAGCCACTACCATTGCTGGTAGCGCCCAAAAAAGTGACAGCTGGTGAAGCATTTTTCTAAAATATGGGCTTGCCTGATATCTTTCATTGAGACGGATTCTGAAAGAAGTCGCTCCATCTCCATCTACAGCGACGATATCTTCTACAATGAAGTAGATCGATGGGCGCATAATCTGTCCTCGAGATACAGAAGATATTTGGAACGGACTACGCCATCGATACATGTAACCGAGTTCTAATATGCTCAACTCTAGCCCCAAAAGAGCCAGAACTGTAGGCAGTGGCAGTGCCAAGAGGCGGACCATAGGCTCTTTTGGCAAGGTACCAACAACAAGTAGTGCTATGATTGCAGCGAAGATGAACGTTAAGTTCCATTGGAAAAAGTCACACTATTTTTCCATTAGTTGGGGACAGCAATAGAGAAAGTATGGGTTTTAGGGCACGCTCACTGAGTACCTGCTCGCACCAAGCACTTGACATGTAGAGTTCTTTTTCCACAGCCGCCAAAACCGTTCAAAATATTCAAATATGGCTGTACCTCCCATGAGAGCTGTTATTATGCCGAAAACTGCATCGTTACAGTTAATAAAAAGATCGAGGAAGGTAATTTAGGAGCAGGACGTGCCGGTTTGGTGCGCCAAGTTTGTGCCATACCACAATATGAAGTATAGAAGAACTGGCAGTGCTACAGAATCGATAAAGAAGAATCCCCAGAAAATACCAATTCTCAGTTTACGCGTGCGCAGGGAATACTCGAGGTGTGGAATACCAGAGGTGGAATTTAGAACAACGGCGGGGTGATTTGACATACTCGTAGAGCTCCCTACTTTTTCGCAATCAAATAAATCGTTTGATTCAAAGATGCGATCGGGGACAATACTGTCAGACCAATAACGTATAACGTTGTTAAACTAATAGAAATTCCAATTGCTGCGAGGGCCTAGCAAAGAAGAAGAATGCTAGGTTGATGATGTCTAGGGCTTTTTCAAATCGAGTATTATAAGCGGTTACGATACGGATAATTCTGTTGCATGCAGGGAGTCAAGAAACAATAATATCAGAACGTGTTGGGTTTCCGCACCTCAGAGGTCCAGTACCTGGATTAGAGCAATTTATGTCAATTGTTTTCTCGGGCCCTTTTTAAGAAAGTACGGCCGACGCTGCGCCACGTTGTTGCCGGAAGTTCCATCAAGCCGAATTGTGGTGCTGCTTTAATTTCGTTTCTGCAGTTTCAGTCCAAATTTAAATGAGCTAGAATGCTCACTGCCGAATGGAATACTTCAATACAATTGGCCCTAAGCACGACCAGTCTACATGGTAAATGCAACAGATGCAAGCGGTAACAACCAGAGTCAAGATTTTGACCCACCTCGTTGCGACCTAGCAAGCTGCGCAATGGTAATCTAGTAGTCTGCGCAGGCATTACTAGAAGTGTGAGGAAGATTCACGTTCACCCAACCCTGTTTGGACCAAGCTGCGATAGCTTAAACTTCTATTCTTAAGCACACTACGGAGGTATCCTTCCAAAGTCATGTCCTGTTCAAAATGATTCATTCAAAGCATAGTCGTCTCACCCGAAGCTTTTCCCCACGTCCTACATGCTTAGTACTACCCTGTAGCTTAGTTGATTTCTTTTTAAGTATACAAGCGCTTGGTCAAAAATATAGTCCTGTGCCACTGTGTCTCTGTATCCAAAAAGGGACGAATGATCAGAATTCAATTGATACTGCACAACACAGTGTATAAAATCAGCGCCTGGCATTAACAAGGTTGATACGGAGGTGCCTTTCAAAAGTATTGTCTGACGCTAATCTCGGCGATTCGGCGCAACTCTTCTTGGCGC